CTCCTGTTCTTTTTATGAATCTATTGTTAACTTGGTCTCCAATTTGTTTTTGCCTGACGTGATTTTTGAACATGTGGCGCTGGCAATACTGGATTCACACCCCAATTTGGCCAAGGGCTCCTCTCCTTATACATTGGCCGAACCAAAACCCGGGGTCCAAACACCGGATACTGGGCGGTTCATGATCCAGACCCAAAGCTAGAGCCCACCTCCCAGAATGCACTTAGATACCTCCTCCAAACCCTCAAAGACACCCCAGCCTGGTGAGAAGGCGCCGCATTACCCTGAGCTCTGCTCTAGGTCTCTAGCGGGGCTCCTAACTGCCCCCTGTGCCACCCGAACCAGCTTGGTCCCCACGCACCGTCTAGGCCCCCGGGGGCTGCGGTGCACAGGCAGGAGGCCTGAGGAGCCAGGTCTCTGATTCTTTGCTTTGCTGCAGGACCCTCACAAAGAGCAGGGACGGCTAAAGCTGTGAACTCCAAAGGACTTGCAATGTGCCAGGGTGCTGGGGACTCAGGGGGCGAGCTCAGGCCCGACTTTAACTGAAAGCAGCTTTGCCCAATGGCAGCTTCCCAGGCTCTTTCCCCCCCGCCCCCTTCTGAATCTCCCCGCCCCCCTTCCCAAAGACAAAGGAAGCAGACTACCTTGAAAACCTTTTTGGCCCACGTCCTGAAAGACTCTTCCTGGCCACAGAGCTCATCCCCCTCCCCCATGCGGAGGATGCGCTCCCCTCCCAGCTCCTCCAGCAGGGTGTCGACGGCGCGGGCAAAGGCGCAGAAGTGGGGGTAGGCACGCGATCCTAGGCCGAACACCGAGAACCTGCAAGAAGACCAGAAAGTTGCAGCTACCCGAGGACGACAGCAGAGACAGGAGGCAGAGCGGGCAGCATCTCCCAGCTCGCACCCACATGCCATTGCCCGGCCTGCGGGCCCTGCAGCACTAGCAAAAAAGAGAGGCACTGAAACCCCTCTGCAGCCCTCGGGGCCTCCCAAACCAGGGCATCAGGGCTCAGCCTTCCCCTGTCTGAAACCAAGGGAGGAATCCCTACAGAGGCAACTTTGCCTCACCAGTTCTGGGAGGAAACAGCCACGGGTGCATCAACCACCACAGGCATTGCCAGGCCATGCCAGGGCAGCAGGGGCACGGCTGGCTTTGCCTGGCAGGGACTGGTGGGATCTGGCTAGCAAGGTGCCAGGCGGGAGCGGCTGGAGATCACTGAGCCAGGGTGGACACGGCTATGGGAGGTAGATGAACCAAGCACAGAGAGTCACAGTTAGTCTTAGCGGGTCTGGGGTGATGCCTTGTGACTGGTCTCCCAGGGACCCCAGAGGTCAGGGTGCACTGACCAAGTCAGTCAGGAGAAGGGGGTGAATATAACAGAGACATGGAGTCAGGCTAGCTCAGGGAGCTGGTGGTTATTTACCTGTTGCACAGCTGCTTAGAGGAGATCTTTGCTACCGGGGGTTGTGGTGCTGGCAGACCAGGTGCGAGCTCATGCCCAGGTCCCCATGCCTCCACTCAACACTGACAAATACAGCTCTGGAGCCAGTCTGGCTCCCCGGGGCGGTACTATTGCTAAAGCAGGTGTCAGAACTAGAATAATGTGTTTAGACGTTATGGAATGCTGGGGAGTTGCTGCCGGCATTAATCTCACTTGTAACAGCTGTAGCCCATGTTCTAAGGTAATAGTTGAGCGTTCTGCATTGTGTGTCTCTGTAACTGCAAACCCCCAGACAGGAAAGAGACAGGAACTAGTGTGAAGTGCTGATCTCCAACAGAAGGTGTTACGTCCTGGCCAACAAGCCAGGCCCATCAACACCAGACTACTGTGGAACACTGATTGTTCTCCTCCCCCCTTTATGACAGTGATTTCCTCCCATCAGTTGGGTCTGCAGCTCAAAGCGCAAGAGGGAAAGGGAATAAAAAGCCCCAACAAGGAGGACCTCTCTCTTTATGCTGCTTGGGCTCTGGGGGGCAAGGATTACTAGGCATAATTAAAAGATCCCCAGTGCTTAGCCTGGGTTAGCCCTAGAGGACCCATAGAGCTTGCTTCTTATAGAAATTTCTGTTACTTTTTGAAAGTTAAGCTTGAACTCATTTGGGTGTGTGTTTACCTGCTTTAACCTTGTACAGAACTCTCTTGTTTCCTATCTAATAAATCTTTAGACCGTTTATGATAGGGTTGGCCTCATGTGTTGTCTTTGGTGTGAGATCTAAGGTGCAATTGACCTGGTGTAAGTGACTGGTCCTTTGGGACTGGGCGTAACCTGACTAGCGCTGTGCTGGTTGGTGTGAGACAATCACAGAGGCAGGCTTAGCTGGGTGGTAAGACAGAGGATTCGAAGTACCCAAGGGGACAGTCTGGGACTGCATGGCGAGGCTGTTACGGTGCTTGAGGAGTTCACACTTGGTGGTTGGTTGGTGAAATCGAAGTACAGAACTCACAACCAATTTGGGGCTTGGGCCCTGGTTCTCAACAGACTGCCTGGAGGTTTGTGCTCACCACTTTTGGACCGCTTGGCAGGTGTCATGGGGTTGCCGGTCCCCATAATGGGACCCTGGTCCAAGCTACCCCGGCCAGCTAAGTTAAGGGGAAGGAACCCATCTAGGTAGTTAACTGAATAACGAACACCTGAGCCAGATAAAAGCCATCAGGGCTCAGTTCCAGGGAGGGGCTCCCAGAGTGAGGAGCTCCCAGAGCCCACAGCTCGGAAGAGGAGGGCAGCGTCAGTGGCTCTGCGACGCCTGAGCCCAAGGGAGAGACTTTATTTCAAGTTTATTTGGGGATTTAATAAAGCAGAACCCAGCAGGGGGACTGCGTCTTACACCCTTTTGGACTCTGTGGAATTCTTAAGGGGCCCGGAGAGAAGGGAAACTGAGGCAGGGAGTGCCCTACAGAGCAGGCAGGCCCCACAACATGGGGTACTGGGCCCTTTGCAGCAGCTGCAGTGTCCTTCTCTCTCCTTGCCTGCTGGAGACAGGCTGAGCCCTCAGGAAGCTAGCAGCAACCTCCCTCTCCATCCTGCTCACCTGACATTAGCCAGAGGCCCTGTGCTCTCAAAGTTGTCCCTGGCTTCGGGCCCGTCGCTCGAAGACTTCCGTGCGTCCGAGTAAGAGGAGACGCTGTTAAAACGGACCTTGTAGCTCCTGCAAGCAGCAACGACAGCCAGCGTTACGGCAGCCGCGGCACCGCTACGCCTGCTCCCGGGCCAGCGGTAGGATGGGCAGGCGAGTGCTGGGAACTGGGGCGCAGCTTGGGCAGCCCTCACCAGCCAGGGCCTGAGTTCAGGGCTCTGCTGTTGCCTGCCCCCGGGGAGGCGGTTAGTGATGCCGACAGCAGAGCAGGGAGCTCAGTGTATGTTCCATGCCTCCCGATGCACAGAGGAAGCGAGTCTGTGACAAGCCCTGACTAGCCAGCCTGGCTCAAGCTGCAGAGACTCGCACATTCCGGAGGTCCCCAGTTCATGGCATCGGCTGTGGTGGGGGAAGCAGAGCCCTGCACCCAAGCCTTACTCAGCTGTGTAGCCGGCAAGGGTTTTACATGACCTGGCTTCCAGCGGCAGGTCCATGACTCGCTGGAAGGTTGGGTTGGGGTTTTTATAGGTATTTCCATTCCCCTCCAGCAAGCACAGATCCTTATGAATGGAGGCCCCTAAATATGGCTTTCGGGGTTGGATTTCCAACGGCGCCTCAGGGATTTAGGCCCCATTGAGAATCCAGTGCCATTAGACACTCAGGTTCAGAAATGGTGACCTTAGCACATAAACAAGTGCTCTCTACCTCCTGATCGGAAGGTCACTGTCCCTGGGTTCTGGTGGCTTCCCCCAGAGAGAGAGCGGTCAAGTGGGGAGTGTCCTGTACTGAGAAACGCCAGCCACGGGTACTGGAGAGGTCCATGTGAACAGCAAGACCATCCTCAGAGCTCTTTGTGGGACATGGAGGACTGAGACCGTCTGTCATATAGTCAGACTCCAGGCTGTGCAGGCCCTTAAAGACAGTGGCCAACAGCTCAGATTGTTCTTGCAAGTGACTGCAGCAGCCAGTGCCGAGCTCAGACACGTGAATTCTATATTGCTGCCCACCTCACAGCTCAACTACAATCTCCTTCCAGGATACCCCGGAACACGGTGTATTGCAAGCGTCCGCCGTGGAGGCGACACACATGATCACCACAGCGGAATCCTTTTCCCGGTGGCACCTCTGGGGGTGGCCTATTGTCCTGTTCCATCAGCTGTCCCCATTAGGGAAGAGGCCATTAAAACCGTAATGGGTTTTCAGATTGCGAGCCCTGTAGGGATCTGTCACATCACATGTCCGCATAGCAGGTAGGCCACTTTGGGGCTGCCACACTACCACAATCAGTGTGCAAATAACTAACATTACTGCTCTGCACAAGCGTGTTATCTGCTGCACTTCTGAAGGAAGAGACTAGAGCCAAGACTTTCCGACCTCTTTAACATCTGATTAAAACCCACTTATCACCGGCCGGATGCTAATTCTGTCCTGACTAAGCAGCAGATATTACCATTCACTATCCTCATTATGTTCATTCAAGAGAGTTCACAGGGAGCGGATGTCTCAATTAAGTGGAATATGCTGTACGTCACCCCTAAAATAATAATAATAACCAATACATGTTTAACACGTCACCATTCTGCAGCAGCCTGGATCTCAAAGCTTTTTACAAATGTTTAACTAACTCTGGCAGATGTTAAGTGACTTGCCCAAGTCTCATCTTACTTCAGTAGCAGAGCCAGTAACAGATGCCAGAAAACTGGCTCCCAGTCCTCTGCTCTAACCCCAAGCTAGACGTCCTTAAAGGAAGGACACAACCTTAGCTTGACCACAGCACTCGTGCGCCTTAGAGGTGTTTTTGCACAACACTGCAATAAACTGCGGCCAGCCCCTCTAACATCCCCAGGCGTTTCAGCCTACCTAAAGCGATTTTACGGTGAGTTTCACTATATTCGGGGTCTTCCTTGAAGCCCCAGCATCTGGAGTCATGTGAGAATCTCAGCATTTTAAAGAAAGTTATTAGCCCTTCTGGTTGCAGAGAAGAGCTAAAAAATGTGATCCTTCAAGGCTTACGGGCAAATAAAAAGAACGAGACATTTACTATTTTTAAATAATCCCAATGTTTAGGGTTGGCAATGCAGATATAGATCTGCCTGGAAGAAGAGAAATCTGTGAAACATTGCCACCTAGTGATAATTTGATTTAACTACTACTGTATGTTCAAAGCATAGCTACACGTCTGTGGTTCGTGGATCACCAGTAGTTCATGGGGCACTTGCTGTTGGTCCACAGACACGTGGCTGGTTGCAGAGTGCTGTCTCCTCTTCATTTGCAGTAGCTAATTTGCATCAAAAGAAGCTAAAATACACGCCATAGTTTCTTGTCCTTTTCCATGTAAGCGATTGCTGGGGTTGCCTCAGGGATGATATCCCGGTATCGCTAGCAGGGGAGAGGGCCATGAGACGAATGGGAGGGGAGAGGGCCATGAGACTCTGTGACGATGTGGTCCATGCTACGAAAAGCGGTCCGTGCAAAGGCCAGCTGTGAGCCCAGTTTTGGCTCCATTTCGGCGTTCGTGGTGTTTATCTGTATGGTACGGTCACAGGGTGAGCTGGCCCTTTAAAAGGTTAGCCCACCTTCCCTGGCAAAGGGAATGAGAGTGCAGGGGTCACGGGTGACTAAGACCCAGGCCTGCTGTGAGATATAAGGGCAGCCGGTGACTAGTCAGGAGAAAGATTCCAAGGACAGCAGACCTGGGAGATCAAGCAGGAAGAGGCCCTGTGCAGGGAAGACAGGGCAGTTTGGGTTATGGCATGGACCTGTAATAGAGGGTGGGCATGGGTGCCCCCAAGCTGCCAACCCATGCGTGGCTGCAACCATCGGTGGTTAACAAGGGGAAGAAGGGACGGACTGGTAGGAGCCCAAGAGGGCTGGAGCCGAGCCCAATAAAGGGCTAAAGCCTCTTGAAAAGGACAGAGGGGCCCTTAGAGGTCCGGCTTTGCCCCAGCAAGAGAGAACTCTGGCTAAGCCCGAGGACTGAGCGACCTCAGGGCTGCAGTGCATTGAAGGCTCCTGCATGAGAGCACGGCAGCAGCCTCTGAGGCTGAGGATGAATGCTCCGAGGGAGGAAACTGAGGCAGCAGACAGGCCTGATGCCAGACCAGGTAACTCCCTGCTACAGTCGCTATTAGAGAAAGGCACAACTGCCAAGTCTGGATCCAGATTCAGAACCCCCGGAGCAGCTGGATCCTGGGTTTGGGGCGGGCCCATCTTTAGTTGACAGTCTCTGGGCTCTGCGTTCAGTCTTGCGGCCACAGGCATCTGCCTTGAGTCCTCCCTGCCAAAGGATCTGAGCACCTCACGGTTCTCTCTCCTCCTCACCCAGGCAGACAGTGGGTACGGCTAAACACCAGAACAACCTCGCAGCAGTTTTTCGGCTCAAGCCACTTGGGTTGTGGGGCTCAAACTAGCAGTGCAGACATTTGGCTCCGCATGGAGCCTGGCTCTGGGACCCTTCCCCCTCCCCGGGGTCCAGAGCCCAGGCTCCAGGCACAGCCAAACATCTACACTGCTATTTTGAGCCCCGCTGCGCGAGCCTGACTCAGCTGACAGAGGCTCTGAGACTTGCTGCCATGTCCTGTTTTGTTTGCCGTGGAGACGGACCCTAAGTGACTTGCTCAAGGCCACACGGGATGTCTGTGGCAGAGCAAGGAACTGAATCTGCATCTTTTGAGCCCCAGGCCAGCACCCTCCCCAATGGACCATCCTTGCTCTTGCTCCAGCGTGCTTGGTTCTCCCTACAAGTGCTCTCCTGCCCAGGCCAGAGGCATGCGTTTCTGCCGGGGTGACCGGCTTCGCTCCCGTGGCAAACAAACCAAAAGGAATGATATCCCTCTCCCGGCCCCATCTCTTACCAGGCCAGGAACATCTGCTGGGCTGGACCCAGTGTCTTGCTGGAGGGGGGAAAGGGGATGACATGCAAGGGGATTTAATGCCAGGGAAGGTATATAGACTCGTTCCCCTAGAGCCAGGCCTGCACTGCAACCCTCCAAACACTGGAATTCTGGATCAGCTTAACGTACAAGCAACTGCCCAGGGTCCTGTTCTTCTGGGAGGACCACAGGGCAGCTCCTGACCTGGTTCTCCCCCTCATCTAGCAAAGCACAGGACATGCCAGGCCCAATTCCACCCCCATTCCCCTCCCTCAGCAGAGCCCACCTGACCCGATCTCTTACTTGAGTCCCTACAGACCCTGAGGCCAGTTCTGGATGGACAAACATCCACCGGGCAGTGGAATGGAGTGAAATTGCCAAGGTTTGTTTCACCTGTGACCTCAGCCTGGTCCAGAGGGGACAGGCCAGTGCTACCCAGAGCATTGGACCGACTGCCTGAGTACCTGCGAGTCCCTCCCCAGGCCATAAACTTGCAGCCTCAGTTGGGACAGAGGCCAGCTAACCCAAGGGAGGGAGGTGGTGCCTGGTTCCCCAGGGACGGGCCAGCTCTGCTGGGGTGGGAGGGATGCGGGGCTCTTGTCTGAGTCTCTTACTTCCTCTCTTCCAGGTGAGAGTTGGGATTCCTCATTTCCATCATCGCACAGCCGAATTTCTAGAGAGAGAAACAGCAAGGTCGTCACTTCCGCCGGCCATCGTACACGACCCCGAAGGTAAGTGGCTGCTCCGTCACGCTCCAGAGGCCCCCACCTGCTTTCACCAGTGGGACCCAACCGTGGGTCATCTGCACCATGCGCTGGGACTGAACTCAGCTATTGCTCTGTAAGCCCGCCGGGGCCAGGACCGGGGCCTTGAGGGCTCATACAGCACCAAGCACATCCGCAGGTTAATCATCATTTTCCCTTGCGTAGTGCCATACATCAGAGGGTCTCTAAGCATTGAGGGCCTGGTCCAACCCCCTGAAATCTATGGGAGTCCTTCCACTGACTTTGATGGGATCTAGAGCAGACTTTTAATTAATTAAACCTCACAGCCTCCCTGGGGGCGAGGCAGATGTTCTCCCATTCTACAGATGGGGAAACTAAGGCAAATTTAAGGTCTCGCAGCAAGTGGGGGGCAGGTTTGGGAAAGAACCCAGGTCTCGTGATGCCCAGCCATGTGCTTTGACCAGTGCCCCATGCTCCCCCCTCTCCGTAATGAATGGGCCTAGAAGTGGGTGCCGCTCCTCCTCCCCCACCATTACTGCCACGTGCGGCACTGGGACGATTCTTAACCCTTTCCTACCTCCCCATTCTCCGGTGGGTCTCCGTTGCCGAAGGTGCTCGTGACCACCAGGACGAGGGTTTCATGTTCCAGGTGGACTATGTCGTACTCATCCATGGACATCACCTGAGACAGACAGAGATGCTGGTGATGGCCCCTCGCACAGGGAGACTTGCTGCCGGTCAGTTGGCTGTGGCCAGGCTCTCCGCTGACTTGAGTGCGGTTCTACCGGCGGAGAGCTCGGCCTGAGACTTTGGCAGAGAACTTGACGCTAAGGGAGGAGGCCCAGAGACTTAAAGGAGAGACAAATTCTGCTCTCCTTGGGGACTTCCATGGGGCTAAATGGGTAACCGAGGGCAAAACTGGGCCACAAGGCCTCTCCAAATGTGTTCAAATTGAAGGCAGCTTCGTTTGCCTCCGGGCCTCTGTCTCTTAACCGGTCCCAGGGCCCAATCCTGCAAGGTGCTGAGGGCCTGCAATTCCTAGGAAAGTCCCCGGGAGTTGAGGGTGCCCAGCAGCTCGCTGCATTGGGCCCGGTGTACGTAAGCCATACAGCCCCATGCACTGTTCTCCATGGGCAGAGAGCTGGTACACTACCTTGGCATCGAAAGCGTGCTTGAAGATTTCACATAAGGTTTTTGCATAGACCTGGGACTTCCCCGTTTCCGTGGCATAGAGGATGGTCGCTTTGACCCTCTTGGCCATTGCCTGCCCCATCAGCTTGGCAGAGAACTTCACGGCTCTGGAAAGCAAGTAGAAGCCTCGATAAGATCCTCGGACATGAGAAGCCCAGTCTGCAATTCCCCCCCATCTCTCTCTCTCTCTCTCGCCTGGATTTCAAGCACGGCTGTGTGATCACAGGGGGGTTATTAGTTCACAACCGTGGGTTGAGAGTTCTAGAGTCTGGGGAAAAGTAAGAGGAATTGTTTTAAACAGCCACTGCCCTCACTCAGCCATGATTTACAGCCAACGGTGGCGGCTGGAGGCCCCTCCCTGGTTGGAGAGGCAGCCTCTGCACAGCTGTGAGTAACTGCCCAGGGCTCAAGGCAGTGGGAACCAGTCCCCCGCTGCCTATGGAAACACACCCACATACTGCTGGCTTTAAGGGAAGCCTGCCAGCTTGCGGTCTGATGTTCTCGGGTCTCAGACCTCCAGAGAATGATTTATCTCTTGCACTCATGCATGCCGAGACAGCAGCTGGGAAAGGGCTGTTTTCTTTGTTTTCCATAACAGGGGCGTCAACAAGGCTTTTGAGTTTGTTTGAATAAGAAAAAA